AGGGGAATTCAGCAATTCATTCCACTTCTCCGGTGTGTTTCCAAAGGGACGTGTCTGTGGTGCCACGAAGCCTCCTCTCACCCCCCGTTGTACATACCGGTAATATGGAGCAGTTACTTTCCGCGTTAAAAGCTACACTATGCGGGACCCCACCCGTCATTGCCGCGTCTTGATAGTTTGGTAAAAAGAGTAAAATTCGCCTGAACCGTTCATACGAAAGGGGTAGGAAAAAAAAAAAAAATTCCCGAATTGTTGGCAAAAATTTGAGAAAAAAAGCTAGCTAGACCCATTTCCTCTGCACACGCAAAAGCATGCCGAATCGCAAAGAGAGTCTGTTTTACGAGAAGATCAAGCCCTGCATTGAGAAGTACCTACCACGTTATTCCCCCTCAGAAGAGGGTCACATACAATTCGAGTGCGAGTGCGAATTTTCTTACGGAAATAGTGGCTTCCGCGATAAATACCAATCTGCCAGTTGTGACTTGTTGAACGCTTTAAATAAGAGCGGTATTTTTGTGGCATTGCTATTCGTTAAGTATAACTATGAAACGGCTAAGAGGCATAACCTGGTTGGAGGCCAATTGGAAGGGGGAGGGAAGGACTTCCACCATGTGTGCGGTTTGGGCCAAGTTAGATGGAAAAATGTAGGCATAATAATCACAGCTTCGCATAACCCCCATGATGAAAATGGAGTAAAAATAATTGACCAAAATGGGAGACAAATAAATGAAGTATACGAAAGTTATTTAACCGATCTGGTAAATAGACATTTGAGATTTCTTCGGAAAAATGAAAAATGCTCCATCGATGCCATCGTCGATGATATAATCGACTGCGTTGCTCGTCTCTTCAAGGAAGAGGCACACATCGACATGTATGATGATGTCTCTTTTGAGAGCTTGCGCCAGTTGGACCACATGGTGCACTGCTTTAATAGGCATAATGTGCTGAAGGCGAATGTGTGCATCGGGTTTGACACGAGGAGCAGCTCCCTACACCTCAACCAGGTCCTCCTCGAAACGTTGACTCACCTGAACATCTGCAAGTGCGTAAATAATATGTGTTATGTTACCACGCCGTGCATGCACTTTGTTGTGTATTTTCTGAACGCAGTTAATGTGGATGAAGCGTTGGACTCGGAGGTCATCAATTTGGAGGGATGCACTCTCCATAAGGAAGTGGGCGACTTGGATTACCTTACCCGTTTCTGCATCCCGGGCGGGAGGCTTCCACCCCTGGAGCTGTACTACGGGGGGGGTGAGCAGCCATATGATCAACTTTCACATATTCAGGCGGCGACAAATACGCTGCAAAAAAGCGATGTCACCCATCTCATGGGTTATAACAGCGACCGGATATATTTTGCCTACTTTACGCACGCGTTTAGGAAGCTCTACAGATGCCTTGACGAAACATTTGACGGACCTCTGACGAAAAATGGTGAAGAAGAGATTATCCATGTGGATTGCTCCAACGGAATAGCTAGCCTCAAATTAGACAATTTCGGTGATGTTTTTAAAATGTTAAAAAAGAGAATTATTAAGATAAATTCTCTGGAGGATGAAGGAGGCGTTTTGAACTTCCAGTGCGGAGCAGACTATGTGTACAGCAGGAGGAAGCTACCTCGTGGTGGAAGGAGCTGTCTCGAGGATGGCCACACGAAGTCTTGTTCATTTGACGGGGACGCTGACAGGATCGTCTACTTCTATGTGGACGACAGAGGGAGGAAGGAAGAGGGTATCCCCGAAGAGGTCGACACAACATCGTCCCCTCCGATGAGAAATACAAAATGGGACCATCCTCAGAATGACGAACCTTTCAGCTGTGCCGACACTGTGTCCATCCTAGACGGGCCAAAAATGATATGCCTATTTTTCAAGTGCATCACCAAAATGATGAGTCACATTCAGGTGGGGAAAATAGACGCAAATTCTGAACCGGAAAAAGAAAAACAAAAAATTAACATTACCATTGTGCACACAGCTTACGTCAACTCAGCTTTTACTCATCACGTGAATGAAGAGAAACGACGCGCCAGCGAAGATGTAGACCTCTTCCAACATATTAATCTAAATATCGTTTGCACGAAAACGGGGATAAAGTACCTCGACCAGGTTGCAAGAAGATCCACCATCGCGATATTGTTCGAGCCGAATGGCCACGGCACGATCTACACAAATGTCTCCCAATTGGACGACTGGGCCACTCGGTTGGACATCCGAAATGATAAATACTTTATCGCGTTGAGAAAATTTCTCCTTTTTTTTAATCAAACCACAGGAGATGCCATGGTCGATTTTGTTGCCATCGAATTGTGCCTCTCCTTTCTCCATCTGCGTATACACGACTGGGATGGTTTTTACACCCCCCTCCCTTCCCTCTACGTCAATTTGGTCGGTCCTAAACATATGCTGAGCAAGATAATTCCGCACCCCGAGCATGAAAAGTACCTAGTCGCGCCGCAGAGTCTGCAAAATGGGATAGACCAAATTGTGCAGACAGTGGATGCCACGCACGGGAGATGCTTTATAAGGCCATCTGGGACGGAGTCCCTCATTCGCATTTACGCGGAGGCGACAACTGTTGCTCAGCGGGATGAGATTCTGCGCCTGGTGCGGGGCGCCGTCCTTCAGTATTTGGCAGGCGCGTATGTCCAATCAGCCCCTTGTGCAAGTTAGCGCGGTTACCCCACACACCCCAGCAGCAGCAACAGCAGCAGCAACAGCAACAGCGGCAGCACCAGCGGCAGCACCAGTAGTCTGCTCCGTCTACACAGGGGGGGGTCGCTCTTTTTTAGTGACCCCCTCTACTGCCAAACAATTGAGTAAAAAAAAAAAGAAAATTTAATAATAACCTAAGTCTAGTTTTTCAACATGGTTCCCCACTTGGCAATGTGCGCCATGGGTGAAAGAAACTAAAATGAAACAAACGAACTGCAGAGGGGCATACAATTACGAATGAGTTTAAGACGCGCTGGGATGTATTCGAAGATACATTGCTTTTTTTTTTTTTTTTTGGCTAGTCATCTTAACATGTGTGTGGTAACTTTTCGCGTACTGCGCAGTGGGGGCGAGCTGAACGATGTGAAGTGAGGAGCTCGACCGGCACGAAAAAAATACGAATTGGGGAGGACGATGGTGAATTGTTGACGCCCATGTGCAGTGTTGGCGCGTATGAGCGGCGTCGTCTCGCATGTGTATTGTCGTCCCGCTTGGCTGGACTGCCTCGCCGAAGGGCCACTTTTAACTTTACAAAAGGGGGCGAAACTCGCCATAGACGCGGCAAACGTAGCTTCCAACGGGATCACTCCGCGGCGAGGCTGTCCTCGTCCCCGTAGGGAACCTTCTGCCCCTTGATCTTCCTAATAAACACAATCGCCACGGTCATGCCGATGTTAATGCCGATGAGTCCAATTATCAGAAGATTGATGTAGGTAAAATCGTATTGCGTATGCTTGGCCCACTCGAAGAGGAGGAGACGGACGAAGGAGACAACTCCGCAGACGAAATTGAGCAGCCCGATCAGCGTGGAGTGGTACTTGGAGCTGAAGGTAAAAGATATGAAGGTCCAAAGGTGCCCATTCGCACAAGCAGAATACATAGCATTGGAGATGACGGAGATCCACTGAGCTAGATTCGATTTGATGTAACTGAACACGTACATACAGAGGGCGAAGAAAAGTTCGTAAGAAAACATAACCATAACTCCGTACTTGTCTGATAGGTTTCCCATGATAATACAGGGGATAAAGGAGAAGGGGAGGATATACCCCAGGATGTCGTTCTTGTCCTTGGATAGGATGTTCTCGACCACGCTGAAGTAGAATGTGTTGTATATGGCATTCAGTGGACCATAAATCCAGAGACATAAGAAGTGCGCACAGGTGCATATCTTTAGTAGGTCTTTAAAGCTCGTCGAGTTAAACATGCTCTTCTTGTCATTCCCATTTGACACGGTGCTGTTATTAGTGCTGCTATTCACATCGCCTCCCTTCCGCACGTTCATCTCGATATCTTTCTGTATCACAGATGTGGTTGCAGTGTTTGCCGATTTGACGACACCACTTCCAGCCCGATTGGTACTACCTCCCTTTCCACGGTTAGATGTATCCCCCGCTCCCTTCATGCTCAAATCTCTACTACTGTAGTAGTTATCGAACTCGTACTGTCTGTAGTATCTACTCTTCGGGAAGAGAAAAATCGTAAGGATGAAAAAGAAGAGCACAGTGATGCACATGTACCAGAGCATAAAGGTCTTAAAACTCAAGTCCAGTCCAGTGATTAGCAAATCGAGAACTGTCATCGTGCCAGCAGAGAGAGATCCCGCACCAGAAATGATGTTGACGATTAGATTCTCATTTCCAGGGTATAAGCCTGAGGCATTCAACGTTGAGAAGGATGCCAGATCGATACTTGCTGCCATGAAGACACCGGAAATGACGTATGCATCGAAGTGCTCATTCGAAATGATTAGCAGAATCCAGCCAATCAGGTTTAACACGTGACCTAGAAGCATACTGAACCGGGATCCCAGGTAATCCACGATGATGCCATTAAAAAAGGAAAAAGCAAAATAAGCGGAGGATCCAAAAACGAAGATAGTCTGTACTGCCTTATCTTGATCTTCACACACGTATCGCTTGTCGTCAATCTTGTCGTAACCCCCGGATGAATTTTTTGTGCATTTCCAAACATAAGCACCTTCTCGAAACAACAGATTGGATAAGTTGGGCCATCCGAAAAATAAACGATTCGTTAGGACAATCAAGATAAAATAAAGAAACAAAATGATATTCCTGTTTATGTTAAATGGTGTCTTCTGTTCTGAGGAAACTCTGATTTCTTTCTTGTCTAGCAACTCTTCCAAGGTGGACGGCATGTCGTATCCTTTCAGAGTGATCAAGCTGGTGACTCCGTTTCGAGGATTTGCCTCTTTTCCACCTGATGCTGCATGATTCGACTCATGCTCCGATTGGCCTTCCCGGCCTGGCTGGGCCAGGGGGATGCTCGACTTTGCTTTAGACCCCATGGGCTACGGGCGTCTTATCTGACTGCCTTTCGCGGGGCTGCAAAAAGGGTGAAAGGGGGAAGAAGAGATGCATATGGGATGAAATGCGCGCAAACACACATATATATGTGTATATACATATACACAACTTTCGTAGGTGTCTTTTCGTTCTCGCTGGAGTATTCCGTGGAAGTAAAGATTCCCCTTCCTCTCTGCACCGCCTTTGGACACTACGGCCACAGATGTGGCGACGCGTCTTTGTTAATATAGCTTCTCACTTTAGGGGAAGCCCTCTCCAGAACGCGATACGAAGGCGAGGAGATTCCACCTTCTTAAGGATAACAAATCTGCTGTGTTGGGGAGAGGAAAAAGTTCTTTCCTCCTTTCAAATGTACAGGTGGAAAAATCAGAGGCTTCACTTCTGTTCTGTTTGGCTCTTTAACATTTCGGGTGACACGTAACGGAGGTAAAAATATTGACACACACGCACATACATATATGCAACGGATGGATGTGGGTGTGACTCCCCTTCAAACTCACGCAAACGCAATTAACTCATATGCCTCTTGTCACTCTTGCATGGGTGTTACACGGAAAACACCTACTTGTGTCTGTGCATAGGTACCTATGCACTCAGCTATATACCCTCCCCTTTTTGAAGTACAATCATGTGACGCACAAAAAGGTTCAAATGTAGGTATACATAACGCAATTGTGCAATTTTTTAAATGCCTTTTTTTTTTTCCTTTTTTTGACAACACTTTTCACTTACATTTAATACGGGCCAATGTTGTCCCCTTGGTGCTCAAAAAAAAAAAAAAAAAAAGTTTGTGATTATCTCTACATAGCTGCACAATCTAGATTTCTCTGCAAAGTTGAGAGAATCCTCACGAGGGGCAAAAAGAAGAGAGGAAAATATCTTCGTGACCGTTTATATAACTCTGTTCCCCGTTTGGCAGCTCAAGGGGAAGCTCTCGCGAGATGGACGTTGGACGATGGCCACTTCGAGCGCGTTCTGCAAAAATGGCGAAGCGAAGCTTCTATACACTGCGCATGGAGGTGAACGTGAAGAGGGGGCGCGGATGGCAACTTGGGTAGCAAACTTGTTGGCAAAGTAGTCTGCAATCTGGTTGGCAAACTGGTTGGCAAACTGATCGGCAAACTACTAATCAGACCGGTGTCGAAACGAACGCAGAAAAAGGTACAACAGGTGGTAAAGTAAGGAAAGGCCCAAAAAGGGAACATGTGGAAAGGTTAACCAAGTAGCTCTTTTTTTTTTTTTTCTTTTCTTTTCCCCACTTATACGGTATTCCCCAAAAGGA